TATTTTCAGACAATTTTAAGGCAAAGAAATGCCTGAAAGATTGGGGAGAAAGGTCTTAGTGGCAGACTAATTCTAATTTATTTGCCTTCAGTAGTCAATATAAACAGATTTGAACCATAAGGAAATTGTGTGTGTATGTATGTATGTGTATATATGTATATGTGTGTTTTTGTGTATACACACAACTAATATAGATTTTTCTGTATATGTGTGCACATACATATACTATATAGAGAAATCTATATTAATTATCTGAATACACACACACACACATATAGATANAACTATAGCAACAATCCATTACTTCAAATGAGATGTATATTTTTTCTTCCATACTTATTTGGTTAGTCTACAACTTCTCTGCCAAAAATGCCTTTATTCTTGATGTCTTAGTAATTTTTCTCCCCACCTCCAAGACATTAAATGTTCCTTGAAATTGAACCTGTTTGATTTGGAAGTGTATGATAAGCTTAACTGAAATAGACTTTGGAGACAGCAAGAAAAGAAGTATAAGAGTTCACCCGCCCCTTTAATATCATGTGGTTGCATAAGCAATTACAAAAATTGATTGCTGTGAAAAAGACCAGGTAATATAACTTGAACTGAAAAATACATTATAGAGGAAGAAAACTGGGCATGTCACTTAATAAAAAACACTTCATATTTATTTATTTATTTGGTGTATGGCAAACACATAGACTTACAGTAGCTCAAATGCTAATGTCCAGTCCACACAGCCATTCAAGGACGGGGTGGTCTATGCCGGAAAAATCAGATACCGATGTAAGCTCTTGATGGACATTGACACAATGTGATGAATATTTTGTTGAGGAGCACCACAGTCACACTGAGGGGTAGAGACAAGACCCCACTTAAACAATGAGTACTGGCAGACACCACATTGGATACAGATCCTGTACAGAGTTGACCAATGCTGGCAAGGGAGGTCAAAATCTGGCATATTTTGTGTTAGGGTCGTCTACGTAACTGCCTGTATCTGGGCGTTCAGCAGCCCATTTGACTTTCCACTGTGTGTTGACAGCTGTTGAGTAAGTTGTAATTTTGTTGTACTCCTTCACTAAGGCTTCCTACCTTTGTAGAGCTGATGGTGCAATGTGGCTCAGGCTCCATTGTCATGTATTTAGAGAGCCAGGAGTTCTACAAAGTTGTCTGACTGCCAACTGTCATTAACTGCCAATTCTTCAGTGTAGTGTGGCTGACAATTTCTGCTAAGTGTGTTTGGTTCACACTTCCATGCTATCCAGGGTGCCCCACGAGGCAAACTAGCATCACACCTCACACTTCATATTAACTAGGACCAATATGAAAACATAATGTTTACACAAAAGTAGAATCACAAGAATCCCTCCTCTTTCCCCATTGAGAGCAAAACAAATCCCTCATTAAATGCTCTTGCTTGTTTGAGCCAGAGTACTAGTAAACATTAGAGACAAGACCTGAGTACTAAGTTTAACATTTTTCCCCCAAAGCAAAAATATTGCTGAATCTTGGTGTTATCATTTTGCTATCCTGGTGCCTAGATATGATATTGCCACTCACATCTCTAAACTAAAACCTTGGAAAGCCACTTCCAGACAGTCCAGCTTCCACTAGATGGGATGGGCTAAGTCATCATAAAGCAACTTTTAAAATAGGTTCAGCTGCAAGATTTACAGAATGTTATCATAAGAATAGTAACTCAATAATGTGCTCTTAAAACAAGCTTTATTTAATGTGGTGATAGAGATATTGTTTTGTTCCTCCTTCTGACAAGGCAGTTGATCCTGATGGTCTCTTGAATAGGTGTGATTTCATAGAGGGCTGCATCAGGGTTGTGTTTGACCTCTGGGGGGAGGGGGAAGATGGGTGTGGTCAGGGTGGAAGTAGCCAGCTTGACCTCACTGTGGTGACCGGAGTGCTCTGCCAGAGAACATGGGCTCCTGACCTCAATTTTCAGCAGCAACAGTTTCCTGCAGTCTTCTGCCAGTGAAAGCAGAGTTTAGGGGTGGGGGGCTGCACACAATTCTCCTAGGCCCCATTATCAGCTGCAATGGCCTCCTGCAGCCCTCTGCCAGCGGCCTCCTCAAGCTCCTTTTTGTTGGCAGAGGCACCGCGGACTGGCCCTTCACTGTTTCCAGAGTGGCCCGCGGGCCAGATCTAAGCACCCTGTGGGCCGCATCTGGCCCCTGAGCCTTGAGTTTGACACCCCTGCTCTAGAAGAAGAGAAGAAAATCCTACTTGGAGTCTGGTGGAGCAACATACAGTGGAAAAATCAATGGTTGCAGTTAACCTTCTGTTTTCTTCTTTTTCCATCTGGTCTAATCAAAACTACACCTCTATTACACAATTGGTGCTTTTGTGAATTTCAACAGCTTGCTAGCCCTTGGGTTCAGCATTTGCTTTAGAAATTTTCCAAGATGCTATCAGTTATGATTTCAACATTTGTTTGAATGACTGGAAAAATAACTTTAAGGTAACCCTTCTATGTCTTAGACAGTAAAAAAATGATTATAAATAGCAGCCCTTTCTGGTTCATAGAATTTATAGCAGTACCACATAATTTTCTGCAATAAACATTGCTTTGCTTGATTTCATCCTTTGAATTTTCCAATAGTCAGATATAGTGTCTGAACTCTCATCATTCTTAACCTTTAACATTATTCAGAGTATGGTTACATTAAAAATTCTCTCAGTGTGTTTGCACTAAGATTCTCATATATTTTATACACATTGCATAGAAAAAATAGTGATGAATAAAACACTTTGGTATCCATTTTACTAGGTAGGTAAAGCTAGAAATGAGCACCTAATTAGCAGTTAAGATGAGTATGCATAATCAGTATTTTTCACAGGATTTTTACTTAAATCTTTTGGGATGCAGCTTTCACTGTTGTGACCTGTCTTTAGTTCTCAAGATACAATAGCATAAAATGTCAAAATAACAAATGTTTCCACCCTGTGTAATTGCACGATATGCTGTAACTTGTCCAGACTGCAGCTTACCTCATTGTTAATTCAATGCTAGAACAGTGGTAAACAGTCTGGATGGTAGCCCAGCCAGTAAAAATGGTAGTGGTCATGATTTGATTCATTTTTTGGTACTAAGGTTTTTTATTATTTGTTTTTCACTAAAGTCCCTCTTCTGAATCACACTGATTATGCCCTAACCTGCTCATCAGCTTGTTGGGTTTCCACAGAAGGAATCTGGCATGCCAAATCTCTAAACCCAACATCTGAAGAAAGTTTCTCCTTGCAGCACAAAACGTAAGAGCGATTTCACAGTAATGTTACATTGTCTTCTTCCATTGCAGGCCCTTGATCTGTTTCTTCTGAGCCTCTTGACCTTTCTGTCAAGTCCAGATAGGAAATAAACCCAGATGAATGAATTCTACTTTATTCATAGAATCTTGCAAGTCTGAAGGTGTATTTCTTTCCTTGTCACCCTTACAGCCCAAGAAACCAGAAAGGGGCTCTTCAGAAATATTTACCATGGCCACAAGCTATGGCTCTTCCCATTGTCTCTGACAAGCATTCCCACATGCCGTTGCACCCTCCTTGTAGCCCTGGGACTTGGAAATTTTCTGTCAGTGAGAACAATCAACCAATGGAACAGAAGTTGCCTTCAGAAGTTGTGGGAAGCTTCATCACTGGAAGCTTTCAAGAAGAGACTGGACTGCCATTTCTCAGAAATGGTGTAGGGTCTCCTGCTTGGGCAGAGGGTTGGACTAGATGACCTACAAGATCCCTTCCAGCTCTAATCTGTTATAATTCAGTATGAAGACTGATGTTGTTTTCAAGAGGCAATGAATCTCCTGAATCTTTCACCTCATTCTGTAAAAAAAAAAAAAATATTCAGCCTATCTTTCCTGTCCCCCTCCCCTCTGCTTAATTTCACCTTTTTACAGGATTGTTCAACAGGTAGCCGCTGTCCCTTGAATTGGCAGAAAATTGCTTTAATTTTTTTTTATTATTTGCTTGCCAGGCAACAGGAAAAGAGCTTTTAGAATTTTCTGCCTCAGGTGCCAAAATAACTTGGCCGCCTTACTCGGGGATCAGGCTTATGCCCTGTGATGTGCAGGAGTAAATGATAAAGATCCCCTGTTGCACTGTGCTTTAAGAAGCAAAATAAGAGTTCCCAGAGTCGGGAGAAAGGGAAAGCTTCTTTTGCTGAAGAAGCTTTTTATTTTTATTTATTTTTATTTATTTTATTTCATCAACCATGGATTAGATAACAGATATAAGTATAGACATGATTATGAATACATGAAATGAATACGAATAGAAAGGAATATTAGGGCAGGGACAGTAAGCACGCTGGTACCCCTTAAAGACCTCTTAGGAATGGGGTGAGGTCGACAGTAGACAGTCTAAGGTTAAAGTTTTGGTGGTTTGGGGAAGAAACCACAGTGTCCAGGCATTGGTAACTCTGTGGCTGAAGTCGTATTTTCTGCAATCGAGTTTGTATCTATTGTGAGCTCATGTGTTGTTGTGGTTGAAGCTGAAGTATTCATTGACAGGTAGGACATTGTAGCAGATAATTTTATGTGCTACGCTTAGGTCGGATCTAAGAGGGCGAAGATCTAAATTGTCTAAGCCCAAAATTTCAAGTCTGGCGGCATAAGGTATTCTGTTGCGAGCAGAGGAGTGGAATATATCTTCTCATGAAATATCTCTGCTGACTCTCTCCAGAATCGAGGACGGTCATCCAGCCTTTCCCGCGGTGGGCTATCCGTCCCATCTTCAGCTTATGCCCGCTTTTTCCCGCTCTCAGAAGGTAGCTTCTGAGTCCTTCGGCTCCCGCTCGCCATCCCGTCCGCTTCAAGTCTAGGTTTCCACCTCCAGCTGCGCCACCCGCTCCCTAGCTCAGCCCTCGAGGCCAGGAGAGACTCCCGCCAATGAGGAGGCTCAGCGACTGGGGAGGCGTGAAGAGGCGGCGACGGGCAAGAGCGGCAGCTTCAAGCCGAAGCGCAGCCCGGGCCCTCAGTAAAAGGCGCGCTGGCGCCAAGTCCGACTCTGCGTCCTGGAGCGCGCGCGGAGGGTAAGATGCGCTGCTGGCGGCTGCCGCTGCTGCTACTGTTCTTCTTTTGGGCTATGCCGCCCGTACCCGGTGGGCGCCACTACCCGCATAGCGCCGTGTTGGACGGCTCGTCACGCTACCGGCTCTCGTGGGCTCACCAGGGCGACACCATCGCCTTCCGCCTGGAGGTGCGCACTCGGGGCTACGTGGGCTTCGGCTTCTCCTCCACAGGAGCTATGACTTCGGCGGATATGGTGGTGGGCGGCCTCGACCGTGGCAAGCCCTATTTGCAGGTGAGCAGCGAGGATGGGGGGGGGGGGAAGACAGGGGCCGTTGGAGGGCAACCTCCTCTTCTCCAGGTGAGCATAAGCCGGGAAGGAAGAATCAGTCGTTCGGTCTTGGCTTGTTATTACCCTGCTAGCATTTTGAGTATATTCAGAGATAACTCCTGTTTCCACCTGAAGTTCTCTCGTAAAGCTTAATACTTGAATTATTGGACTCGGAGCAGCTAACAACGGAGGCGGTGGGACAGCCTTCAGTTCCGACGTTCGAGTTTGTGGGCTGCTCCAGCATCCTCCCTCAGTATGTTTATTCGTTTAGTGTCAAGCAGATTTCCAGTGGAGACATTTAAATGCACACATGTATATAAATCTAATAAGTTTCTTGCATGGTCAATAAAAAGACAACACAACTACTACATTTGACTATTATGATGACTCTCTCTCTCTCCTCCCTCTCTTCCTCCTTCTGTCCTTCTTTCCTTCTCTCTCTCCTTCCTTCCTTTCCTCCCCTCCTCCTCTTCTCTCTCTCCCTCCCTCTCCCTCTCCCCGCTCCCTCCCCCCTTTCTCTGCAGGCAAGATCTTGAAATCCTATGTGAAAGCCATTTTTAACAATAACAACTGGCTTCTTTTATCATTTCCTTTTATCCTTGGGTGCCTTTCAGAGTTGGCTAAGTTTAATTGCAAAGTGGCCAGCATGCCACCTAGCAAAGCCACAATTACAAGGGAAGGTTTCCTGTCCATTTCACTGGCAACAATTGTGTCCCTTTTGTGTTTTCAGTCAGTAAAGATGAATTTCAGCCTTATCTTAATATCTTGAATTACACACTTCAGCATTTAGCTGATATATATATATATATATATAATTTGAGATATTCTTGTTTGCCAGGTCTTTGGTAGTGGCCCCAGGGTGAGAGCAAATTAATTGAATAATGTCTGCCTTTCTCATTTAATAATTAATTAGCATTCAAACTTATAAATGTTACATATGGTATGGTAAACACATATGTGGACTGAGTTAATGCATAATTTAATATCTTGGAATCATGTAGCTGTGGAGTTGGAATCAACTACAAATATCATCTAGTCCAACCTCTGTTTTGAGGTCATAATATAAAGTACCATGTAATCTCTAAGTATTTATTTAAATGGCTCTAGGCAGAAATGTAGCAAATATAGATACAACTTCAGACCAATTCATATTTAGTTCAATGATCTGTGGTTATAGCTCAGTTAGCAGCTAGGTTCTATCAAAATGAGAGAACCATACTAAGGTAATCCCACCTTAAAGACAGTTGGATGGCTATGTATTTTAATTGATATTTTTCTTCATACAGTAATTAAATATATATGTTTGTTCATAGTTTTAAGTGGGAAGAGCTGATTGATTGGATATATGGTTCTTCTAAAAAGTGAGATTCTCACAATAAATCCTAACATACACTGAGCAAATATAGCTACCTGGAAAAGCATTTTGTCTGCTTAGCTCTATAATGACAACTCTAACTTAGACTAACAGCATTAGGATGTATATTAGTTGGCAGTAATACATCATTTTTTTCTATTTAGCATCTGCAAATTTATCTACATTTTCAGTGATATTAATGATTCTTAAAAATACTGAACAAATAATAAACCAGGAGGTACAAGCTTCTTCCAAAGCTACAGCATTTTAAAAGACCTATGGCATAGAAACTAAATTCTAGACTTGTGAAAATTAACTTTTAAAGAAAATATATGCTGTGTCCTTAGAAATATCATCTTAAAGTCAGATACTGATACAATGCAGCAGTGAATTTTGGTTCTTCAGTCCATCTACTTCAGTGATTCAGTTCTGCACTGAGTGCTCACAATAAGCTTCTAGATGTTTTCAGAATAGGCATTGATTATAGTGTCTTTTTATTTAAATATTTATTAAAATATATTTTAAATATCTTAAAATATATTTTATTTAAAGACACTAAATATAGTGTCTTTTTATTTAAATATTTAATCACATTTTCTCATTAGTTATATATTTATTTCTATCCTTAAGTCAAGCAACTAGTTGTAATTGCTATTTATAATGTCATGTGTTTTCCTTGTTTCAGTAGAATTAAAAAAAGGCAGACCTCTGGCTCAAGGTAATTGCAGGTCATATCAATTCTGAAATAAAATATTTATATCACTGAGATGGCCAATTTATATTTCTGAGATGCAAGTTACCTTTTTAAATTAAAAAAGAGCTTCCATTTACTAATAGAAGAAAATGTTTTCTTTCCAATGTTCATGGTGATACTGTATGAAGAGACTTTTCCTTTCATTGCAGCCAGTTAGTACAGAAATATAACTAGAAACCTGGAGACCATGAGTTCTGGTCCCACCTTAGACATGAAAGCCAGCCGGGTGACTTTGAGCCAGTCATTCTCTGTCAGCCCAATTCACCTCACAGGGTTTTATAGGGAGAACATGAAGAGCAAGGAATATTAATTATGTTCCTGCCCTGAATTGTCAATAAAATAATAAAGGTGGTATATATATATAAATAAATACATAAATGTGTATATGCGTCTGTAATTTTTGGTCATTTATGACCAGATAATGAGTTGCTACACAAGAAGAATCTAGTTGATTCACACATAGAAACACAAATAGATACATACCAATTGCATAAACAAGCCAGAATGTTCTTTTAAAAGGAATCTATTTCCCAGGTATGAGCAAAAGTTCTGATAAAAATATAAATAATACTTTTGGGGGGCCTTTTCCTGTTGTCACTATATCTTACCTGAGGTTGCTGCCTTAAAATTTGCTAGGATAGAGTACAACTTAAACGATTCTTGTTGCCTCCTGCAAATAGATCAATCAGGGTGAAAGGTGCAATTACGTTGTAAAGACTTAAACCCAAAAAGGATCTTTCTAAAGGGCTGACATATTCTACAAAGTTACGGCTGAGACGGAGTGAGCAGAGGATGGTGTATTAATTATAAGCATTCTGGACTACTGAATAGGAACCTAGCACTACTTGGGAAGTGTAAGATCCATGTTTAAATAGCAGGAGCCTGTCAAATGTGTGATTCATAGATTTGTGAACTGTGTAACAAAGGAAAATACAGAGCTGAGCAAATAGGAAAATACTGTGAAAATTTATAGAACGATGTACTGTTTTAAGGCCAATCAGGAGCACGTGTTAAGGTCATTATGTGATGCAGACTGATGAGGTTATTGTGAATATGTTAAAGTATGGGGAATCCAACCTCCAACAGTGCAGGGATGGAAAGATGCTGGCTGGATAAATATGGGTGCTGCCTCAGAGAAATTGCTTAATCTGTTCAGGCTTGTAGTAATATTATGCATGCAATATTGCCAAAGTAATTTTTTTCAGACTACTTGCCACAAGAATGTTCAAGGCAGCTCTAAACTTTGCATCTTTTTTTTTTTTTTTACTATTAAAAAGCCTTTAGGACTTACTTGCACACTCCTTGAGTTTCCATTCTGCAGCTCAATTCTTAACCTTCTCTTTCGTTGTCAAATCCTCTTTCTTCTGGTCTGGAATTGTGCATCCCTAACTGTAGCT